AACAGCGGATGCCCAAAAAGTGAACCCATATGCGAGCCAACAGCAAGCAAACACAACCAAATGCAAGTCCCAAGGTGACGGCCAACCAGCTGAAACAAAGCCCAAAAGGAAAGTTCAAGGAAAACCCAATAAGTAACCCAAAATTTGAAAGGAATGAAAATTTTGAGAAAGAGGGAGGACACACCAAAATGAGTGGAAACAGTCCAAAATACCCAAAATTCGAACGGAGGACAAACACATCAAAATGAGTGGGAACACACTGGGACAGGGAACAAGTCTCAAATTGGAAGGGAAGAACAACACCAGTTGTGGAACAGCCCAAAATTTGAAAAGGAAGGGCATACACATCAAACTGAGTGAATAACCCAGAAAAGGAAGAGCGGGCACACCAAACGAGTGGAAACAGCGCAACACCAAAATGCAAAAATTTGAAAGAAAGGCAGGCACCAAATGTGGAACAGATCAAATTTTGAGAGAGAAGGCGGACACCGAAATGAATGGGAAAAGCCCAAATTTGAAGCGAAGGACAAACAAATCAAAAGGAGTGGAAACAACCCAAAATTGGAAGAGAGGAAAAACACATCAAAATAAGTGGGAAACAACCCAAATTTGCAAGCAGGGGCGGGGACGCCAAATGGATAGAGAACGGTCTCGAACTGGAAGAGAAGGGCAACACCAATGTGGAATAGCCCAAAATTTTGAAAAATGGACAGAAACACCAAACTAATCTCAAAATGCAAGCGCAAAAAGTGAGTCCAAGGACCCAACTAAACTCCAAATGCAAGGCGACAAATCCAAATTGAAAGACAAAAACTCCTGCAAAACGACTGACGGCAACAAACCCCGAAAGCTGAAGACCAATTGCACGAAAGGCATTTCACTTGTTTTTGCGCATGCGCGTGCGTGCGCGCGCGCGAAGGAGCCCAAATGCAAAACCGAAAGTTGGAAGATTCCNNTCAAAATTTTGCCTCAAATGCCTTCAAAAACAGTCTTTTGTACTGATCTTTGTTGTTTCGTGTGCTTTGAATTTTTTGCAGTTGTTCTCCCTCGGTCTTGCAAGTTTGCCTCGTCCCTTCGAACATTTTTTTTGCTGTTTCTTTTTTGTTTTAGCCTTCTTTTTTTTGAAACATTTCGCTCGAGGTTGCTTTCAAACAGTTTTTTTTTCTGTTTTCTTTTTGGTCCTTTCATTTCATTTTTGGACTGTTCTCTCTCCGCCTTGCAAGTTTTGCCTTGAGTCTTTTTTTTTGCTGTTCCCTTTGTTCTCCGTGCATCCGCCTTTTTTTTTTTCCATTTTGGAGCCGCTAATTCAATGCCCTCTCCTGTGCCTTTGTCTTTGGTGTCTGTGCCTTTGTGCCTGTGCCTTTGAGTCTGTGCTTTGTGCCTGTGCCTTTGTGCCTTTGTGCCTTTGTGCCTGTGCCTTTGTGCCTGTGCCTTTGTGCCTGTGCCCGGTGTCTGTGCCTTCGTTCCGTCGTATCTGTGCCTTTGTGCCTGTGCCTTTGTGCATGTGCCTTTGTGTTCACCTTTTTACGAAGATGAATTTCGCCGGTGATGTGCCTGCAGCGGAGGAGGCCATGCAGCACGCTCGTGGATCTATGGCCGCGCTGATCAACTTAGACGTGCTGCCGAGCCTCAGCCTTGCAGAAGCGGCGAAGGACTTGGACTCACAGGAGGTGGCGAACGCATTGGCTGGCAAAAAGCACGTGTGGTGGCATCACGACAGTGATGACCATTGCACTCCTCTGCCGCAATGGGTGAACACGTCTTTGGAGTTCGCAATCATGGAGTACGTGAAGGAGCATCAGAAATGGCAGGCTCAGATTGCAGCCAGAGGGGGGAAGGGGCTCACGGCAGCTGCAAGTGCGAAGTACGAAGCCTGGAAAGGCAATCCTTACCGGATCTTGTTGCTTGATCCAGCCCGGAAGGCAGCGCTCGGCAAGGGGGAAAGGGCCACAGCAAACTCCAAGGCTGTTCATCTCCGACTGTCCCATGGACCCGGATCAGTTGGGTTTG